CTACTCGTGCCAAGTTTTGGTAGTTTCAGTGGACATTTCGTAATTTCGTCCCCTGAACGGGCCTTTTAAGTCTTGTATTTTATAATTTTCCTTCTAATTTTCTAACCCGAAATCCAATCGAGGTCCCGTTTGTTCCTACAAGTTTATTTACGCTTGAGCAAGCTACTCGTGCCAAGTTTCGACAGTTTCAGTGGTCATTTCGCAATTTGACCCCAAAACAAGCATTTTAAGTCTTGTGTTTTACAATTTTCCTTCTAATTTTAAGTCTAGTGTTTTACAATTTCGACAATTTTGTTCAACACAACCAAACATATTAAGTTAAATTCTTGTCATGATTTGAAAATTAAATTATGAAAAATGTACTTATAAAAGTGCTTGTCAATAAGATTTCTTTGATTGATAATCATCTCCATCAACCTCTATGCTTGCCCGATCCTTACGCATCCTCACAAACTTCTCAATCTCTTCAAATCTTTTGTTTTGCATTTCAATCATTTTAGCTTGCTCTTGTGCTACCAAGTTTTGGGCTGCAATTTGTTCTTGCTAGACCGCGGACAAATTCGTCAATGACTTTAGTTGTTTTTGTAGACTCGAAACCGCCTCAATATGCGTTTGTGCATTAACAGAAGATCTAGATGATGATGGTTTTGGACCAACTCCAAAGCCTTTTAAGTATCCTGATTTCTTTCCAAGAACCTGAATTGACAACTGCTCCTGAGTTAAAGGTACTGCCCCAGGCTCTGAAGACTCTTCACGTTGCTTTTTCAAAGCTTCCTATCAATTTGTAAACAATTTCAACAAATACAACCATTTACATAAATATGTAACTCTATTAATTGGCATACTTACATGTAATTGACCACATATTGGGGCTACCCAATCCAATTTTCTCTTGCTCCAATGGGAATCTTTGTAGAAGTCTACAATGTCAGTCTTCTCGATACCTTATTTCCATTTAAAAGTAAGCATACATAATTAATTTTAACGTAATCACACTTTTAAATATAATAAATGCATCACCTATTTATATATTGCAGCTTGAAATGACTTAGAGCCCATTGTATGATTATATGGTAACCTCGATCGACTATCCCTTGCTTTTTCAGCCAAGTTCTACAAAATTAATTAATTCGTAAAATTAAATTAAAATTACAACATGATTCTTTAAATTAGAAAATTTTACCTGATGATCGCCATCAAGCCATATATGATTGATCATGTATACCCAAGCCTCATAATCGACTCCTTTGTATGGTTTACTGTAAGGGTCAACACCAGCATCTACCAACTTCGAGTAATGAGTCTTCATCTTGTTACGCCAACTTTTGTAAAGAGTTTTAAACTTTTTGATTGACTCCTTTCTGAATCTCTTCATCCTCATCATAATTAACAATCTCAAATTTATCTTGCAAATATAATGAATACTTTTATTAATATCGAAATGCAAGTAATGGTGATAATCTCATTATTTTAAAAATAATAAATACATGTACCCGAACTACTTAATGATTGGGGCTTTATAAATCTCATCCATCTTGTCCCACTTTTTTTTTACCAATGATTGGTGCAGCCATTCTTATCTGTAGCCCAAGTTAATTTGCAAATGGAGTGGCATAAGGCCCTACTAGCACCTTTGCATCTACAGGGATCCAAACAGAAAGTTTTTTACTACCATTGTTATCTATGAGACGTGCCATGCTCTTCCCTCGAGTTTGACCCCTTACTTGTCCAGAATGAGTACGCAAACTAGTTGTAGATGGTGCATCCTGGGTATTAGTTGAATTAGTAGATGGTGCAACCTGGGTAATAGTTGCATTTGTAGATGGTGCAAGTTGGATACTTAGAGCAGTTGTAGATGGTACACTCAGAGTAGATGGGGTTAAATTAGGTGGTGCATGCTGGGTAGGGGCAGCAACTCCAATTACAAATTGTTGGGTAGATAAAGGAACTTTGGATGATGTTGCACTTTGAACTTTACCAGGGCCTACCATCTAGCACAACAACTCAACAATTACATGTGTGATACATATGCAAAATAAGCAATTACATTAATATCAATGGATGTATGATATAATCAATATTAGAACATAAGTGATAACTAAACAATAACATGACATAAGAAACCCAAAAAACAAAAATGGAGAAAGAGAAAGATAGAGAGAGAGGGACACACACAAACACACATATACTCAAAAAATCTTTTTGAATAGTCATTGTACTCAAACTCAAAGGACTTAAACAACAGTGTCATAAAAACATAAAAATGATACAATAATTAAAGTTCTATGTCAAAATCTATATTAGAATCAAAATGATTATATAGGCCATCTTCTCAGATAGTCAATGCTCGTAGTAATCATCTTCATTATCGCACCCCTCTTCATCATCAACACCATCACTGTATACTCAACTAACTGATTGTAAAACCACCTCACTTAGGATAATTTGAGGATCAATGTCATTCTTATGAAGTGAGATTGTGACAGGGTCTTCAACACTGACTGGGACAACATCAGTTGTTTCATTCTGTTGGAATACATCATTAGGTTCAATGCCATCTTGTTCTGGTACATCCTATATTCCTCAATGTTGTAGTCTTTCTACGACTTTCCAAGGTCCACCTAACTTTGTATCATCAACATAGAAAACTTGTTTCACATGACTTGGTAACACAAATGGATCATCTTTATACCATCGACTTCTAACATCAATACTTGTGAAATGTGTATCGGTATGTAATGTTCTATTTCTACCGGTGTTGAACCATTCACATTGGAATAAAACAACTCGATATCCAAGTATATAATGCATCTCCCACGCTCTATTCAAGTACCCATAAAAGTCAATTCTTTGTCCCTCATGCTCCTCTTCCACAACCAACCCACTATTTTGGCATTTATGACTACACGATCCTTACTATGAAATCGAACACCATTGGAAATACAAGCTGAATACAAATTAACTATAAAAGTAGGACCATTTGCTAATGACCATAAATCATCAGTTATTTCTGGTATTCCTTGACCTCGCAATTGGTTCATCTACATAACGACATCAATTTCAATCATTATGTTAGTATTCATATAAGTATAGCTCAAAATCTTTAGGATTATATCTTACATGTTCTTTGAACCATTTGGGGAATTCCTCTCTCTGTCTGTTTGTGAAATCACGTGCACCTTGATTTTCTAAAAGATTCTTGTGTTGCCTACTTACAAACATATGATTGATAAGTAATGTATTATATAAATAAAAAAAAAGAATTCTACAAAAAGCAATAATAAGAACTTACTCTAGATAATGGTCTAACTCGAGGCTATTATTCAAGAGCCATTTCACGTTTTTCTGAGACACGTCAGAAGCCCTTGTAATTAGCCCAAAAGGACGAATATTTTACGTGAAGACCTTTAACCCCGACTTATGCACACCAACATCAACATTTCGTTCCTCTCGATTAAATATAGTTTTAATCCTACCCAGATACATTGAGCAAAATGTGAGACACTCCTTGACAACATAAGCTTTTGCGATCAAACCTTCTGGACAAGCTTGATTCGTAACATATCCTTTTAAAGTTCCAAGTAGCCTATGAAACAAACAATAAAATAATCTTATTACACGCACTCGCATTTTTATAAATATATATACAGGTTGTGCTACAATTTTAAGTATGCTAGTATATTAAGAAATTAGTAAGTACCTTTCAATAGGGTACATCCACTAATATTGCACAGGCCCACCAAGAATGGCTTCACACAGCAAATGAATGGCGAATAGACCATCACATCAAAAAACGTTGGTGGAAAAATTTTCTCCAACTTGCATAGTGTGAGTACTATGCGATTTTTAATTTTTCCAAATCCTTCACCTTTAATGTCTTTAAGCAAAGCTCTTGGAAGAAATTTTCCAACTCAAATAATGCGACACAAATATCATTGTGATGATATCCACGTATTCCAATGGGAAGAAGTCGTTGCAGAAAGACATGACAATCATAACTTTTTAGGCCTGTTAACTTATCACCTTTTGTGGTCACACACCTTGAGATGTTTGCCGCATAACCATCGGGATACTTATTTGACTTCAAGAACTCACAGAAACCATGCCTTTCATCTGAGGACAAAGTGTACAATACTGGGGACTTTTCAAAAGATCCATCGGCACGCATTGTTAGGTGCAACTCCTTCTTTATTTTCATATCTTCCAAATCCAGCCGTGCTTTTTCTATGCCTTTGTTCTTTACATCTATACTTAGTAATGTTCCAAGGAAACTATCACATATATTCTTCTCTATGTGCATAACATCGAGGTTGTGTCAAAGTTTAAGTGTTTTCCAATATGGTAACACAAAAAAGATGCTTTTTTTTGTCCAGATCAATACTGGATTTTTCCTTGTTCTTTTCTTATTGGTTAAATGCTTTCCAAATGGTTTAAATGTCCCTAAGTCTAATTGTTCTAAGATTTGTTCCCTTGATAACCGCGAAGTTCTTGACACAAACTCAGTCTTACCATTATAAAGTCGACTCCTCCGCCAAGGGTGGTCATCAAGCAGATAACGGCAAGCTCCTGTGTACCCTATCTTATCTCTCAATCGTTGTGAGGATGCATTCTTGTTACATGTGGGACAAGTCAAATAACCTTTCATTCTCCATCCTGACAAGTTGCCATATGTAGGAAAGTCATTAATTGTCCACATAACACCCGCATGCATTCGAAAAGTTAATTCAGTTGAGGCATCATAAGTAAGCACACCATCTTCCCATAACTCCTTCAACTTATCAATTAATGGTCACATGTAAACGTCGATATCTCTCCCCGGTGCTTATGGTCCCGGGATAACCAATGACAACATACTAAGGATTGAAACCATCAGTGGCCAACCCTAATCTCACATTTCGAGTCTCTTAGGAAAACAAAGGATGTTGCTTATCAAAATCCTTCCATGCCTCACCATCAGCCGGGTGTCTTAATATCCCATAATCTACTCGCTTCTTTTTGTGTCATCTCATATCTATAGCTTTTTTTCTTGACATATATAATCTCTGCAACCTCAGTGTCAACGAGAAGTATCTTAAGATCTTATGAGGAGTTTTCTTACCTCTTCCATCATTCAACTTGTATCTAGACTCTTGACAAATCAGACAATTCTCTAAATTTGCATTCTCCTTCCAGAAAAGTGCACAATCATACTTACATGCATGAATCGACACATATCCTAAGCTTAAGTCACGTAAGAATTTTTTGGCTTCATAAAGGGTCCATGGAATCACTTGATCACTTGCTAGTAGAAGGTCCTTTAATATCCCCAACAGCATGTTGAATGACTTATTGCTCCACTTGTTCAACACCTTCACATGAAGCATCTTAACAACAAATGATAAAAAGGAAAACTTACGACACCCAGGGTACAACTCTCTTGAGCATCATTCAACAATTTTTTAAAGTTGGGCACATCCTCTTTTTTGACATTATTAGTCACATCATCCTCCTCAACCCCTTCGTTTTCATCATCATTCATGATAGTCCCCATATAAACATCTTCTAACAAATTTAGGATTTCATCTTGGTCTTTGCCTATCTTCTCCTCCATTCTATCCCCAACACTTCCAAATTCATTATGGTTGTCATCATTCAATGCATGAGATTGATTCATGAGAACAGCTTCCTCATAATGAACCCAAGTCTTATAAGAAGGGGACATCCCTTTCATGACCAAATGATACTCCACAATTTTACTAGTGTGCCATTCACAATTCAAAGAGTCCATACAAGGGCAACAAATCTTATCATTTGGCCCTACATTTGTCATTGCAAATTGAATAAAAGCCTTCACCCCATCTCTATATTGGGAACTCATCCTATTCTTAAGTAACATCCAACTCTTGTCCATATTGGGTCACCTAAAAAGCCAACGTTATGTGAAATTCTTTTTTTATTATGTACATTAAAGTAGTCATATCCCATTTATGAATGCACAATGCAAAATATACTAAAATATACATTTAACTTAATTAGGCATATGTAATTTATTTGTAAGACTAACTTAATTATTTAGTTGTTACGATGACCCACATGATATGGCAATATTAATTAGAAATTTTACAGGATTATGGTTATGTATCTTTCACTCCAAAGTTTTGTCTAACAGTGATTTCCAAGTAATCCTACTTTGATAGTTATAAATCTTGGATTATAAAAGTTGTATGCATTACATCATAAAATAATTTACATTATTAACAAAGTTGTATTAACAATAGTAAGTGATAAACAAAAATTAATATTTAAGTAGAATATGCAATCTATAGTAAAGGGTGAAAAGAATCATATAGTAAGTGATGAAATGGATATATAAATTAGAATTGCTATATAAATTATGGTGTTGAAATTGTTACATATTAGTTTAGTTATTCTTGTAAAAAACATATTCATCTATTTGTTGAGATAGACATGAAATTAAGATTTTTGAAACCAAACACAGCAGTCACCCCTAATTAGCGCATTTGGTCTTATCTTATTTATATGTCAAATAGTTCTTTGGGTTATCTAAGTGTTTGTTATATCATGAATGCTCAAAACATTAGGGAAAAAATGTGAATCCTCTAACAGCCACAAATTTAATATAAAAAAAAAGTGCCAAAATTCTATAAGTAAATTAAAAATGCCCTAACAAATAGTCAAAACTTACTTGATGTAGTAATTGCCCCTAACGAATGATTGCAGCTTTTTTTTTTATCTCTTTGCATTAGCCAATAACCTATAACATTTGTAATTGTAAATCAAAGTTTAAATTAAAATCGCACAATATATGAAATTAATAGAGAGTTATGGGCATGAAATGAATATCAAATAACATAGAAGGATACTCATGTCTTGTCTTTTTTTTCACAATAGTGAATTGTGTAAAATAAAGTAGCTAAAGCAAAAACTAGAAGTGGAAAAGAAATTCAGCAAAGTGGAAAGCAGCAATTAGATAGCAGCAGAAGAAAAGAAAGGACGAGAATTCTCGAGTGGAAAGCAAAGGTTAGATAACAGGGTGTGAATATTTAATTTAGCGATTTCTTCTGCAGATGATATAAGAAATTAGGCTATTTTGGGCCAGAAAAGAAAGCTATAGTTTAAGAAAGATTGCAATAGCAGAAATAGTTTTAGCTAATTTCTTTAAAAGATAAAACTAATGCCTTATTTCTCATCATGTCAACATTAAGTCATATGATTTTTGTTCTTCAAAATTATAATCGCATTGCCAAAAGAAATAAAACCCCTAATAAGAAAATTTTACCACAAATGAACAATTAATATGACAATAGAATTTTGAAACAGGATCAAATTTAGAACTGTATTGACGGGCATCAAAACACTAATCCTTAAAAAGTATAGCTTAAACAATTCTTGCATTTAATTTCATAAAGAGATAATTTTTACAGTATAATGCACTCAAACTATACAACGGAATATACTCTCTAATGAATAATAGCCCAAGTTATGAGATTGGGACTGATTATATCTGTTTCTCATTTTGAGATTGTTCAGAGCCTTTTTTTTATTTTATTTATATTATTGTTTGTGTCATGTGAGATGGGGTTTTTATTTCCTTCATGGATTCTTTGGCTAGATGGTTGTTTAGAATTTCCTCCATAAGAGTGTAAAAGGAAGTAGTTCTTGACCGTATGTAATAAATCATATGACTAATTTCATATAAAATTGGCAAAACTATTATATGTACTTAAAGTGTCAACAAATTAATGATTCCACAATATTGTCATGGGATAAAATATTAATATATTGAATCTGCTTCTTGGTGACAAAAGCATCAACTCAAACATACATGTACATGAAGAAATTTATGCCAAAGGAGTTGAAATGAGACTAATTACATAAGCTACCAAACTTTTAATAAAAAATCAAAATACAAGTACTCGATTTTATAAAAATCATTAATATTCTCTTTCTAACAAAGGAAACCATGCATAGATTTTTGATTAGTGAATATTATTTTAGGACAATAAATCTATGAAGAAAAAAAAAGAATTTTGAATGCATTTCTTTAGTTTCAATAAGATTCTGGTGGGGTCAATTTTTAAAAATCTTAAAATTATGAACAATATTCAACTTGCCCGTTTTTTTGAAATTTGAGTGGGGTCAAGTGACATCACTAAGATTCATGTGGACCTCTCATGCCTTCATCTATCAATCTTTACTCATTTTTTGTGAATCTCATTGGAAATTTCATCATTATTTAGTTATGTGGGCACGCATTGAAATGCATCATATCTTATTGTTTAAAGGGAAAAGGCCTAATTTCTTTTTCCCAATATTTTAAAAGATCCTGAAATCTTTGTTTTAGGGGTTTTAGTTGATCTACTGTGTGGGCCTATGCTACTGGATATGGATGTGTATGTCTATGAGCCTTTGATAATGAACAACAACAACAAAAAAAAACAGCGAAGTGTTGTGTTGTGTTCCAAAATCAGTCCCAAAATCAGAATATCAGTCCCAAAAAAAAATCAAAATCAGAATATCAATCCCAAGATTAGAATATCAGTCCCAAAATCAGACAAAAATAGTCTCAAAATCAGAATATCAGTCCCAAAAATCAGTCTTAATATTAGTGTTATGCTGTGTTCTGCCATGTTGAACAAGAGAATCAAATTGAAGACAAAGAAGAAAAAGAGGAAGAGGAGACAGTGTGAGAGAGTGAGAAGAAGAGAGAGAGAGAGGTGACGACGACGACGAAGAAGAAGAAAAAAAAGAAGAAAAAGAAGAGACATACCTCTGTGTCTTTTGCTGTGCCATTTGAGGTTGTGGTGTGAGAGAATGAGATGAATAGTAGATCAATCCTTGTTTATTCACCTAAAGGTCAGTCAACTGTTGAAGATGAAAAATAAAAAAAGAAGCAGAAGAAAAGACAGATTCAAAACGACGTCGTTTTGACCCCTAATTTATTGGCAACGAAAATCATTAGGTTACCATAAATATCATTCACCTTTCCACAACTATTTTAATTCTGTCGCCAAAAGTTACAATTGGCGACCAAGAGTTTCGTCGCCATATATTAATTTGGTTGCGAAAACAATTTTTGCGCTCCCGCGCGAAAATTTAAATTGGCGCCAAACGTTTTTGGTGATCAATCGAGATATTGGTCACTAATAGTTTATTTTTTGGCGACCAACATGTATATTGTCGCCAAAAATATACAAATGGCAACTAGTTTCAATTTGGTTGCTAAAAAATGACGCCAAAAATGCTTTTTGTTGTAATGTTTTCTGTTCTGGCATACTTCTCGATCCGTGTCATGAGCTTCTCCATACTTTTTGGTAGAGTTTTTGCCAGCAATTTTTTAAGGAGGCATTCATCATCCAGGCCATTTTTAAAAGACACGACTGCTACCTCTTGGTTGCAAGCAGGAATTCGGTTGAACACCTCGTAATATCTCTTGGCGTAAACCTAGAGGCTTTCATCCTTGCTAATGTTCAAAGCTAGCAGGGAGTCCACCCTTAGTGGCTGTAACTTGTTTGTTATAAATCTGGCCACAAACATCTTGGTTAGGCCTTCCCAACTCTTCACAGTTCCTTTCGGTAACTTGGGGGACAAAATCCGATGCGATTTCCCCAAAGGATAAGGGGAACACGTTGCACAGCAACTGCTCGTTCCTGCTACACAAAGCCATTGAATTTAAATATAAACTGACATGAAAGTTCGGATCAGACTTACTGTCATAAATTTAGAACCTCGGCATATGGAATCTCTTTGGGGCCTCAAACCTATCCAACTCCATTGAGAATGGCATTCTTGACTTGATAGGGGATGTGATCTTAGCGTTGAGTTGCTTCCTCTGGAGGTAGTCTCTCAGATCTTCCTTCGTTCCACCGGGAGCTCGACTATTAACAGATGTCAGCCTTTTTGGCATGCTGCTCTCGGTGTCATTATGTGTCCTTTTAGACTTCTCTTCATTTAGTGTATCAAAACACAGACCCTTCCCTTGGATATGCGAAGGTTCTCTGACATAAGTTCCATTGGTACGAGACGTCTTCTACGACTCACCTCTTACTGACTTTGCTCACCTGACATCCCGTGAAGGCCGATGTGAGCACTCCCTTTCCTTGCCATGCTGCGGGACTACTAGGATTTTTTCTGCCCCCTTTTCTGGGCGTTAGTCTTTGCCACTAGTACCGATGTGTCATGCAACAGGAACGGTGGTTGCATCACGTTGTTTTGCATCATGAAGTTGAAAACCAACAGTATGTCTGCCAATTTGTTTGTCATCCCTTTCATCTCGCCGTCCCTCCTCAGGCACATATCCTTCCATACCTAGAGGTCGCTTTCGTTGTAATATTCATCTCGGCTAGCTTTTTTCAGGGCGTTACCCTATTTCCCGACGTCTTTCTCTCCAGGATTTAAATCTTGTGCTCCTTCATTGCGATTTTCTTTCCAGACGTTGGGATCTGCATGCTCACCACTCTCACTGTGGATGTCGTCTCCAATCTTTTCATCATGTCCACTGTTGGCCATCTATTCTCCTTAAGTTCCCATAGATGACACTAAATTATGGGTGTTGACTTCCGACCACACAACCAAAAAGGGAACTCAGCTGGAGAGCACCGAAAAAATGGATCAATCCAACAACTTGTAACAAGAAGATGAGAATTCTACGGTGGTTCGTCCACTTGGGGGCACCCCGATGATCAAATCAATAAATAATATCTCTCACAGATAGCAAATAGTGCTTAAACTCACAAGAAAGAACTTACCCTAGACCCACAAGGGTGCCTTGCTTTTATAACCAGTAGTGACTTGGTCCTTTTAGAAGCCTCACTCTAATGGACTAAAGCTCAATGCTCGTCCTGGACCTTCAACTAGATAGGGATAAACTCTCATTGAGCCTTATCCTTA